CTAAAGCTCATTCAATGAAATTTAGTTGAAGCACGCCTGCGACCATTTTGAAACGGGCATCGGCTTAATACACACGATGCTGCGGCGATGCTAGAGGGCTCTGATTAGACCTCAGAGCAGACTCAATTATAATCAAGTCTGCTCCAACAGCTTCTAATTAGAAACGTCAAAACACATCTATTAATCAAGTCTGCTCTGACAATGGCTAGTTAGGACATGTCAGAACATGTCTATAGGCAGCCATTATCTTTATATAGACCTTACTGATATTAAGGTTTATTTCCTTATTACTTGCTGTCTCATGACATCCTTGACATGGTTTGCATCATTGTTCTGTATCAGGTCTTGCTAAATGGTAGCAAGGTTTTTTTAGTATTAGATTTTTTTTTTTTTAATTTTCCACATTCCAGTACAGCACATGAGTTACTTCCCAGGTTCACTTCCGTCTCTAAAACCATTCCTGATAACTCAGGAAAAGAATTGCAGGTGGAGCACAGTGCCCATGAGAGGTAAGACCAGGGACCGGCAATTATTTCGGGCGGAGGGATGTTTACCCAGTTTTGGCAGGCTGCCGAGGACCACATGGGTAGCCCTGCCCCTTGACAGGTGCCCTGCCCCCTGGTCACCATCTTGCGATCAATTTCCCAATGTCTTTGGTCCCAAGACATTGGGACATTGGTCCCATATCTCAGGGCCAGCACCAGTGGAGCCCAAAGCTGGGCACAGGTTGGCAGGGGTCTATGAAGCCGGGCTGGGCTGCACCAGCAGGGAGAGGGGGGAGCTGGCTTGGCTCCCTAGAGCTCCTGCTGACTGGGACCCCACACTCCTGGCACCCTGCTCTGGGCCCCACTGGCACTGACCCTGGGACACCAGTGCATGCCCTATGCTCCCACTGGCTCCTTGCCAACTCACTCCCAGTGCCCCCAGCCCCACGGTACAGGTGGGGAGCAATGCAGAGCCCTGAACTCCTGCTCACCGGCAGGGAAGAAGCTGGTGCTGAGCATGGGCAAAAGTGGCCCCTTGCCCACCCCATGGCCAATGCTCCTTGCTGCAGTCACTCACAGCTCACACAGGGCTGTCCTGAGCAGGCACAGGCAGCTCCACGCAGGCTGCAAGTGGCTACAGCGTGGGGCACCAGCCACAGGGCTCAACACCAGCTTGTAACCCACCCCTGCTGCTAGCCTGGGCTGTGCGCTGGCTCCAGGCTCACCCATCGGGACTGTGCACAATGGCAGCAGCTGCTGCCCCCCCATTTTCCGCGCCAGGCACTGTTGGCTGCTGCTGCCCGCCCGGACCTCGCTCACATGCTGGGCAGCACAGAGGCAGCCATGGCAAATACAGCGCGGTGCGGCAAGCAAGGGGGCCAACAGCGGCTGTCGCCATGCGCAGCCCCGATGGGCGAGCCCGGAGCTGCACGGGGCCCAGACTGGTAGTAGGGCGGGTTAAAAGGTGGTGCTGAGCGTGAGTGGGGGGAAAAGTGTCCCCTTGCCCACCCCGTGGCCAGCACCCCACACTGTAGCCACTTGCAGCCCGCCTAGGGCTGCCTGTGCCTGCTCCAGACAGCCCTGTGCGGGCTGCGAGCGGCTGCAGCAGGGAACTCCGGCCATGGGGCAGGGAAGGGCCACTTTCCTCCATGCCAGGAAGTAGCAGGGAAGGAGCCTGGGGAAAAGCTGAGCACAGGGGGCGGGGGAAGTGGCCCCTCGCCTGCCCTGTGGCTGGTGCTCCCTGCTGCAGGGCTGCAGCAGGGAACTCCGGCCATGGGGCAGGGAAGGGCCACTTTCCTCCATGCCAGGAAGTAGCAGGGAAGGAGCCTGGGGAAAAGCTGAGCACAGGGGGCGGGGGAAGTGGCCCCTCGCCTGCCCTGTGGCTGGTGCTCCCTGCTGCAGCCATTTGCAGCCCACACAGGGCTGTCCGGAGCAGGCACAGGCAGCCCCAGACAGCTTGCGAGTGGCTGCAGCACAGGGCACCAGGCACGGGGTCGTCAAGGGGCCGTTTTTCCCCACCCCACACTCAACTTTTCCCCGGGCCACTTTTCCCTGGGCTTCTTCCCTGCCTGGGGTCTTCCCCTCCCTTCCCCCTTACCTGCGGTTCTGGCACAGGGCAGCTGCACGGTCGCAGGGCAG